TGTACAGTTTCACACGAAATATCGTACTCATTGCTAAATAAAAGAATTAACAGACCATCTACACATCGCCTTATACACAAATTTTGACCGATAAAAGAGAGATAACCCTATATTTCAGCATATCGGCCTTTCGTTCCTACATGTCTGCTTCCGCACATCATCGCATAGAAAATTCTAGTAATTACTGAATGAAAGTATCAATTAGTCATGTAGGGCTAAATTTATATATACATTTCAGCCGACACTTAATACAAGATTGAATTTTTTTATTTAATTTCTTTTTCTGTCCCTTCCCTTTCTCTGATTTGGGCAGATACCAATAATACAAAGACCGATATATCGACTTCACAACAATGTTTTATCATAATTCAAAGAATTTCATTTAAAATATTATTTTTATTACTAATCAAAAGAAAAAAATTCATGAAGCTGGTATATCAGTTAAGGTCATAGAGCCGGAATTTTATTATCTTCTCAAATCAAAGAAAACGGAGGGCAAAAAAAAAAAAATTATAAATACATAATCAAAATCTACCAATCTTGTTAAAATAAGGTCTTTAAAATAATTTAGCATTGAGATAATTGAAGTAAATATTGGATAGGCGTTGGTGACCTCGTACGTACGCCTCGAAGTCCTAAACAACAACAACAACAATAAGGTCATAACACCGATAATTCAGTATTTGGAATATCGCAATCTGCTCAAATGACGGGAAGGGAAGGAAAAAAATAAAAGAAAATGGTAAAACTTCCAATCTCGATAGAAAGAAGTCACCAGCCATTATATAAGTTTTCGGAATATCAGTATATCTTCAAATATATGTTTATGTAGATTCCTTAGTAACTGATGGATACATTTATTAACAATATAAATAATATTCAATGTAAAAGTGGCCGATATATCGGTTTAAGGAGATGACCAGAAATTAGGTAGAGGAGCACACAAAAAAACTTAAATAGATAAAAAAGAAGAAATCAAATTCTGCTAGTCTTGACAAAATAAGATCGTGAGGCCGATATATTGGTATTATGAATATCAGTATTTTCCCCAATTAGGAGAAGGGGAAGGCCAGAAAAAAAATTAAATACAAATTTGTGCAATTCTACCAATCTCATTAAAATAAGGCCATAAGTCGATATTTCGGTCATTAGGATATCTGTATCTGCTGGAAAATAAAATAAAAAGCCGATATATCGGCAGATCGGTGTTTAATATCGGCCGATACCGGTAATAGGCCAAAAGGCCGATATGGCGATATTAATGTCGCTATCGGTCGAACTCTAGTAATTATTGTTATATATATATATATATATATATATATATATATATATATATATATATATATATAAATTTATTTTAATCTACAAAACATTGACCATTATTTAAAATGGCTTTTTCCCATCTTTCCACTAACTGCTTAGTGCCATATTCAAAGAATGTCTGGAGTTTATTGTTAAAAAAATGATCCAAGTGGTTTTTGATGTCCATTGGAAATATCTTTCCATTAATAGAGTTCTGAAAAGACCGGAATAAGTGGTAGTCAGTTAGAGCTAGGTCTGGTGAATAGGGAGGTTGGAGTAAAGCCTTCACTGTTTGAGGTAATCGCTCTGCGATGATCAAATCGTCTGCATACACAAGCAGTTGAGTCATTCCGTAAGATATTGTTCTTCATTATTCAACCTTGCCCTTTTTATGATGGTATCTAGGGCAATATTAAAGAGGAGTGGGGCTAATAAGTCACCTTGCCTAAGCCCGAACTAACTGTATAGAGGTCGGCAATACTCTTCACCTTAACTCTACTGACGGTGCTTTCCATGGTAGTCATCGTTAAACGAATCAACTTCGCTGGTATGCCCAATTCATACATTGCATAACGGACTTATTGCATAAGGTATATTCTCAACCCATCTCTCAATGCAGTTTTGGAAAATTCTTTTTACCTCTGCTCTATTTATTTTGTCCCTGTCTTACCTGTGCCTCTGGTCATAATTTCTTCTGAACCATCACTAATGTCGCCTATAACAGCCCCAAGCTGCTGAAGAAGACTCATGACTTAAAAAGTCAAAGTAAACAGGCGTATGAAAAAAAAAAATAATAATAATAATTTCTTCTGAGTGTTTGGCATTCCAACTTGGTAACCACCAAGTAATATTCTGAGTCTACATCGGAGCCTCGGTAAGACCGGACATCATGCACACTGTGGAAGTGCCTTCTGGAGGCAAGAATATGGTCTTATGTTCAAATTCCTTTGTGTGCTTGTTTATGGAGAAAAATTGTGCTCATCATGACTAAGGAATTTGCTATTTTCAGCAAAAATGACTACAATCAATTATTGCAAACCTTTAATGTCTTTGTTTTTCGATGACCTGGGGTTTATAATAATCATTATATAAATAGCGTATATAAATGCATTAACACACTTTTGTATATAACAATTAGAAATTTAAAAATAATGATTTTTCGATTATTCATCATCTAAAGTGATAATAAAAATGTATTTTTTGGTAAGAAAACCTAAAATTTACGATTAAAATTAGGAAACCTGCCCATTGCTTCAATTATTTTCATGAAAACATAAATATTAGGATTAGAAAAGTTTATTTTGTCCCTTATAAATACGGATCAATTACTGTAATATAGATCTTAGCCATACTTTTCATTATCACTTTTAATGACGAATAAGCCAAAAATCATTATTTTTAAAATAAATAATTCCTGTATTTGGGCAATTATTATTATAATTCCCAGATCATGTAAAAACAAGAAATAATATTAAAAGAGAATGTTTTTCTTAAAGTGGGGTATCTGTAGTTTAGTTAGAGGACGATAAAACAAAATCGGGCATAATTTATGATTTTTTAAAAACCGAACTTAGCTTAGTTTAGTCCCTTAAAAGTCTTCTTTTAAATAGTTTTACCCATTAAGAAGTCTATTTTTGTTTAAAGTAAATTTTATCTAGTTTACAGTGAAGCAATTATTCATTATATCAATTAATGTTTAATTGATGTTATCAATTATCGTTTCCCACTCAACGAAAAACTCGACTTACCTAAAAAAACACAAAACTTGGATTTTATTCTTTTCTGCTGAAAACTGGCCCATTGATTATATTTACTTTTTTGTAAGTCTTGAGGTCTGCTATCATTCCTTTGAAAATTGTCCTCTACTTACAGGACACTGCATATTATTTAATTTTTCCTCTAAATTTACGTCTTGGTATAAATTACAATATAGATAAATTGGTATAGATTACAATACTTTTTTAATTTTATTTTAATCCCTAAACTGTTTCACTTTTAAAATCAATTTAACTTTGTTTTACAATCTTATTCAGTTATTTTTATTTATGTTTTGTTAGTAGCTATATTGGATTATTGCGACCCCATTGCTCATACGCTTTCATTAATGTATCTTTGATATACTTGTTTCTATCAAGTATGTTTTATTTATTGTATTACGTCTCATCATTTGTTGCAAAAGGTCTTAAGGCCAGATTTAATGTTAATTTTTATTTTTGAGGAACTTAGTCCCAGAACAAAGTTTATTTTTAAAGGAAGGAGAAGGTCCGGGGTGGCGGTCATAAATAGGCTGAATAGTGGCAAAACTATTTTATTCCAAGCCAACGTTTCGACCCGACTTTGTAGGTCTTCTTCATGGCTAGAACGGACAAGATACAAAAAGATGGAGAATTGTAGAAGTTACATAATAAAAAATATAAACTTATTATAATATTACAAAAAATATAAACAATGTGAATCAGCTTATTAAAATTATAAACAGTAAGTACATTAAAAAGTACAATGTGAATAAAAACAAACAACACACATTGTACTCTTATCTATGATCTCTTAATTTTATTTTATATGTATATGTATATATTTATAATTTGATATTTCATAGATACAGTATTTTTTCCCTTGTATCCATCCATATCTACAAATTTTAGATACTGTAATTTCCTAGGTTTTTCCCCGTTACCCAAACAAGTCAGCAAATTCCCCAATTCCTGGCCTTACCCTAATTTTCCAGTTCTAAGTGAAATTTCTTGCTAAACACACCTGCAAGTCTCTATTTGTATTCTTCTAATTTACTTATTTATTTATTTTTATTTTTATTTTTCATTTTTTCCTTTCTCCACATTCCTTTATGTCTATTATTTCATATTCCATTATTTTTCCTTTTCTTCCAATCTCTCCTGTTGATCTGTAGAAGTATATTCAAATATGCATATATTATACATATATTACACTACAACAATTGTCACCATCTATTTACTTCAGTTTAGGATCTTGTTACTCAGCTTACTCGGTTTATATTTTAATGTACTTACTGTTTATAATTTTAATAAGCTGATTCACATTGTTTATAATTTTTTGTCATAATATTAGGTAACTTTGACAATTCTCTATATTTTTGTATCTTGTAACGTTGGCTTTTAATAAAATAGTTTTGCCACCAGTCAGCCTATTTATGACCGCCACTCCGTTATCACCTCCTTCCTTTATAATGCAACGGTTAACTATTGAATATTCAAAGTTTATTTTTCTATTTCTGTTTGTATATTTGTTTATTAATCTGAGAGGAGGCAGCTTCAGGTAATGATATCTCTCTTGTATACCTTTCAAGATCGTTCTGTTAATCAAAATATCTTTAGAAGCTTCAAGATTTTTTTACGATTCCAGTGTATTTTGAATGATTATTTGAGGAGCGCTCGTCGCAAAACCAAGCCTAAAATATTAAATGTTATAGCATTGTCGGATGCATCCTGCAATAAAAACAAATATCTGAAACAGACATTTTTATCGAATTTAGCTAATGGAAAAATGGACTTCCGTTCCTTTTTGGTTTTTTTTTGTATATATTTTTAAATCAGTCGTGGTCATCGATTCCCGCGCAAGTAAAGGGAAAAGGGTATATGTTGAGGAAGAGAGGTAGCATGGATAGGGCGTGGCCGGGGCTTATCGAGCGCCAAGCAGTCCGCTCCCCGCGGCGGTAGGGTATGTGTCCTGTCATCTTTGTATTTATTCTCTCTCCTTTACCAGGTTTGTCACATAATTATTCCTCCCCTTGCTCCCCCCCCCAAAAAAAAAAACATAAAATATATATAAAATATATATATAAATAGACCATTAAAATGTGTACATTGTTAGCCCAACAAGTTTGTGGTTTGCCGTATCAACATAATCACTCTTGATGATAAGACCCCTGCTATTCACTCCTTTTATTACATATCTAATTTTCACCTCTGAGAAACCAAAAATATAAAATGATTAAATAGATAAAACTCTGTTAGGAAGATTTTATTTATTAATTATTATGATTTTTTTTTAAATCAAAACAAGTTTGTAAACATCAATTTACTTTTATTGCGCATCTTCATTTTTTGGTATGTGTAATGAGAATTAAACAAAAAACATCTAAAATATGAATCAAATTTAAATAAATGAGATATTGCATCCTACCCTGGCCAATAAAATTACTTAAACATAAGCAATTGTTTCGATGCTTGTTTCTATATTTCATAGACAAAAAAAAAATTAATCTTCCTGAAATATAACTAAACCAAAAAAAAAAAAAAGAAAAACGTTTGATATCAAATGACTAGTAAGTAAACAATATTTCCAAAAAAAAAAAAAATTATTATAAAATAATATAATAATAAAATGCTAATATTTATTCTTTCAGTCTTTTTGTATCCATGATTGGAAGACATATCTAAAATATCAATAGATTTAAAGGAAAATGATTTCGTTGAAACTATATAATATTTAACTCCATCCACTTATTAATAACTCAATAAACTATATAAGTTCTTTGACAAAGTTGAAAATTCTCATTTTTTTAAAGTTTAGAGGCATTCCAAAGATACATTCTCTCAAAAGACAAATATTTTTATTTATACATTTTCTTTGTTTGGAATTTCAGAATGTACATCCTCTGCTTTATCTCAATTCGCTATTATTATATTTATTTTTCAATTAATTTCGTAAATTATTTCTAAAATGCATTGTTATGGTATAAAAAAAAAAAATACTTTGATAATTTATTCTTACATGTTAGTGATTTAGCCATAATTATTTTATACCATATTATTCCGTATATAAAATATAAAAAATACACAATATATTATTCCGTCTTGAAATAAAACAAAATTTAACATTGTCACAAACTCAGCTACTTCATTTTTTATGCCATATCTTTGTTCTTGTTTTTTATTATTTATTTTGATCCATTTTTTTTCTCCAAATCATTAATTTTATTGTTACTTAAATTTGTTTCCTTCAGTGATATCCTCTAATATATGTTTTTATTTTATTGATGATGCCGTGACAATGCATATTTAAATTTTTCTTATACTTTTTATGATTTATCGCTTGTTTTATATTTTCGGTTATATGGATTGACTCTATTATCCTAATACAAATGACTGAGGAAAAGATGTACAAATAAACTGTCAAGACACTATAAATTGACATTTATAAATAATTCAAGTAATTTATTGTAAATTAATTAAGATTGTAATCAATAATTTAAATAATATGGTGATAGTATAACTGTTAATTAACATTATCACATTTGAAAATGATATGTATGGCCAATGTTGTAGAAATAATATTTTACTTTAATGTGGATACATAAGATTTAACTTTAGATCACATTATAAAGTAATGTGTAATCAAAATTTCAATTTAATATTGATATACTCTTTCCAATTATATATTTTATTATTTACATATTTGCGATGTCTCACTAACTAATTTTAAAACTATAATAAGTAAATTTTTTATAAAATACTGTTATGTTAATTTATTGAGTTTGAAATTTGTGTAACTTAATTTTTTTTTTTGCAATTAGATATTAGTGAATTACTCGAACTTTCTGTTTAAAAAACCAATTTAGGATGCTTTATGAAAATTTAGTCAAAGTCAAAGTTTATTGTGAAATCATCGAAGTTGATTTAAATTCTGTCATCTTTATTTCCTCTTTTTTACATGAATTTACTGTTGATCGTTTTCTAAAAAAAAGGCTTTTTTTTTAGTCTGCTTTAAGTTGGTTAAAATAAAAGTTATTACCAATGTACTGACTTTTTCAAATATTTGCTCTGAAAAATGTTGTTTTTGTAAATCATTTTTCTTTTCTTTACACACATTCGTTAATAATTTCAATGTTTCGCTATGTGCATGAATTAACCATAAAAACGTTGATAACGATTTTACTGGTGGCATTTTTTTTAGAAATATACTTACAGTAATTTCACTTACATTTCGCTATTGACTGGAGTAAATGAATTATGAGTAACGATGTTGTTACTAACATATCCATGTAAATCCGCCTTTGGATGTCGATATTTAAATCAGTTGCCGAAACCAACAAATTATTAGCTTAAGGTTTTTATGTATTTTGAAATATCATTAGTAAATTTTTAGTTCTGAATATGACATATAGCGAAAGGTTGACAAGCTTTTAATAAACATGAGAAGCTTGAAACTTTTGATTTGAAATTTATTTAAAGTAACTCGGTTATTATATTTGCCATAAATGATAAAATAATCTTCTTCTTTTTTTTTTTTATAGTTTTAAAGGTTTGGTGCTGTATGATATCACAGCTTCTTTGAAACAACGTAATCATCGGGAAATATACAACATATTAAATTATTACAAATCTAATTACGTAGCCTTCAAATTTATTTAATAAACAAAAACAGCAGAAAGTTTCATTAATTTCTTTAAAAAGATGATTGGGTATTGTTAAGCGAAGACATCAAATATATAAAGCTAAATACACCTTTGTTGAAAACCGGTAAAGAACTTGGGCTGGAAATAAATACGGATAAAAGAAGACATAAGATTAGCTGCAGAAAGAATTTCGGTGATGTATTGGGTTGGCAAATAAGTTCTTTCGTTTTTTCAGTGTGAAATAAAACTCATTGTATAATAGACATACAATTTATTTTAATCTACAATATATTTACCATTATTTAATATGACTTTTATCCATCTTTCCACTAACTGTACAATGTCATGTCCATAGAATCTCTGGAGGCCATTGTTGAAAAACTGATCCAGTTGGTTTTTTAAAAAAAAATACAACAAAATATGCAGATAATGAATGATATTTTCTTCCACATTCACAGTGCAATAGCAAACACAATACTAAGCTAGTTCCAACAAGAGTTAACAGATATAGTTGTTGACATATTACAAACAGGATAAACAATCCCCCTTAGGGATTAATTAATCAGATGAGAAGTGTATCATTGTGACATAAAAATAAACAGAAAAACCGAAAAGACTCATTTTCCAACACAATAGTCATGGAAGGGAATACGTTTGAGCAGTTAAAGAAGTTTTAAAATTTAGGGACATCGATAACTAAAATCGATAAAATCGAAATAGAATTGCAAATTAAGGCTAAGTCAATTATCATTAGGTAATTATCATTATCGTTTTTGATATTAACATTATCAGTTTTGATATTGTCATGATTATATAATTTAATGTACATTTTTTAAGCCCATATTCAATATTAACTGTATTCAAATTATGTAATATTGGTCATATGTTTATTTGTTAACAATTTTTATATTTGTTAACAAACGAATTTTATATTTAAAATAAGGTATAATTATTTTTTAAATATAAACTTTTAAATATGTTTAAAAAAAATTAATATAACTAAACTCACTTTTTTCTTTATTAACTGGTTGGGTAGTCTTCCAAGGAACCATTAGCGTATGTCTCCTTTTGATTTTCGCTATTATGCTAATATATACATTTATTTTACTATTTGCTTGTTAAAATGTAAAATAAGCCTGTATTCCGATCTAACGCTGCCAGGTAATTTATTTTTCTGTACAGCAGGACTTCTAAAACGCAATCCTCAGCAGACAATCTTGATGCCCTAGTGAATGTACAACGATGGATGTACAACATTCACTTAAAAAAGAAAATCCAAGATGGATCACTAATTAAAATTAATATGGTTTATTATTTTTACTATAAGTATTGTTTCTATTATATCTGTGGATTGCGTCAGTATTTTAGATTTCAATAAGATTAGAATAAATGTTACAAAAAACTGAAAACGAACCTAAAGGTCGTTGAATACTATTTTCGTCCATAAATTTTCTATTAAAAAATAGTTTAACAAAATTTAAAAATATTTTCATTTTATAAGAATAGTAGTGGACATAAGCAAAATTTCAGTTCTCAGTAAACGCTATTTTTAGTTTAGAATAGCATTATTTTATAAATATATAGATAATAGTCTCACATTAGAGTTTCATTTTTTATAATTACAGGGAGACTCCGTAGAAGTTAATGGTGTTAAAAAACAAACTGACGAAACTTTTGTCATGATAATTAAAGACGAACAAAACGTAATACGATTTCACGCAATTTTTAAATGATATATTAATAAATAGAATCCATTATCATCAAATTATGAACCTGTAGTTGCATAAATAAGCAATCGTGATTAACAAGGAAAACGAGATAACCGTTACATTAATAGTAACATAATCATTAATAATATCAACTCTATCTCCAATATCGTTTATTCTAGGCCTTGATGGTCGATTAAATTTATAAAGTGTCTAGCGAAGTAGGGGTGGGGGCTGGCGATATATGTCTAGCCGATACTAAGAGATAAGAGGATTGACAATTTACAGCGAAATAGTGTAGTTTAGTTTAAGAGATATTCACACCTAAAGATTTTCTTTTTTGTGAATTATTTACGTTATATGAAATAAATAAAACCTATTTATTTGTTCTAACTACTTTATTAATTTAACGTAAACATTAACATTCATATTAAGTGTTGTTTATAGTGAAGGTGTATGTCCGAAAACGCTTTAGGAGATGGATTAGATAGAATACTAATACGGCCTTTTATCCCTAACTGTAAAAAAAAAATTGCAACGTAAGGATTAATACTATTTGGAATTAGCATTGGAAACTCTCAATATCATTTATCGGTTTGTAAGAGGCTTTCGCAGAGTACTTATGCCTTCCATTTATACTAATGGTGAATATGCCGATATGGTGTTTGTATATGCTAATGCTAATGCTGCCCGCCTCGAATATGGCAGATGATTTCCGAGTAGAAGATTACCAAACAAGTCCATTTGGAGCTCCAAGCTTCAACGTATTTGAGAAATTGGTACATTTGCTATTATTGTACCACGAGGTGATGATATTTTTGCCCCTTTACGAAGTGAAGAAAGGAGCGCGACCACATTACAATATTTTGATGAAAATCCATCTGGCAGTGTAGGAAGACGGGTACACAATTTATTACAGCAAGATTTTCGGCAAAGAAGAATTTTTTCAGATCGGTACTTAAATCAAGTTGAGCATAATCCACAATTTTCAGAAAAAATCTTTAGACAGATGAAGCTACCTTTACAAGAAGAAGTCTTCAGTCAGAAAAATAATTATTTCTGGTCGCAGGAATATCCCCATGCAAATCGTTAGTATCATTTTCAGCACCAGTTTCAGCGCAATGTGTGGTTGGAGATAATAGACAATGTTTTAATAGGTTCGCATTCGCCTGGAACATTTCTCCTGGAGCATTCCTCTATTTAATCTCATCATACTTCAAAACTATTCCTCCTTTATAACTCTAAGAATTCAAGAATAAATGCCTAATATTTAAATTAAATAATTCGTTTATTATGAATCTGTCAATAGATGTCCGTTTAACGAAAAATATTCAGATTATGTTTTGAAAATTATGCATGTCATTCATAAGTTGCAATAGATTTAATACCTAAGATTTAAAAGGAATGGATTTATTTTTAACAACTTATCTTTTAAAGGCACTCTTCAAGTGAAGATAGGAGTTTACTTCATATTTTTAATCCCACAGAAAGTAAATATAACATTGGATATGTGAAGTAAATATGTTTACTGATTTTTGTATTATTTTAGAACTAGATGTAATTTCAAAAAGTTGTAAGTGTTCACTTAAATCACATAATTAATACATTTCAAAATAAGTACGACAATGTTCATATTCCCATATGAAATTTTTATTTAATAAATCCTAATTTCTTTTTACAAATTCCTGTCAGTAGGTTTTTAAATTTTTTTTTTTTAATACTATAAAAACGTGTTTTAATAAAATCCATTTAAATATACATAAACATAGTACTACCTGCAAGTTCAGTAGATAAAATCCTAACGTGAGTGTTTTTGTAAGTACTTTTATTTCATATTCAAACCACTGACGAAACGTAAAGAACGTTCGCATTCGCGGGAACATTTCTGCAATTTATGTTTTACGGCTAAATGGCTAAATGTTAATTATCCCAATCAATGGATTGGCCGTGCACTTACGGGTCAAACAAGATTAAATTTTCCTTTAAATTAACATAGAGTTTATCATTGTTAAAACAATTTATATTTATATAGTAGAGTAGCTAAACTAATCTAAGTTCTGTTTTTAGAAAAATCATAAATTATTCACCATTTTTTATATCATTATTCAAATATTCTATAATCACCTCACTTTTACAAAAACGTCTTCGCTCAATAAGCTTCAAGTTCTTATTAATTGAGTTGAGGTTCATTAGGAAAAAAATTGAGATTCACCTCAAGTTTTGTAAAACAATTATGATATTTTTTTATCCTGTCAAGTAAAAGTACCACTGTTTTCAGCTTAAATGAGAACAATTAAGTTTTGCAAAGCTTTTATTTCTTGTTTCTCCATGATCTGGGATTTTTCTATTTTAATAAACCCAATTTCCTAAACAAATTTTATTTATTAAAAAAAAAGTTGAAAATACTAACTGATCAAATATTTTTTCCGGTAAATAGGTTATAAACTGTGTTCTTCACCCATCTCTCAATTTTAGGGACTGATCCGTATTTTTAATTGCCAAACTAAACGTTACTGATCCATAATACGGAGATTAAAATACGGATCAATTGTTACCGATAATTGTTTCACAAAACTTGAGGTGAATCTCAATTTTTTTCCAAATAAACCTCAACTCAACTTAAACGAACTTAAAGCTTATTAAACTAAGACGTTTTTGTAAAAGTGAGGTAATTTTAGAATATTTGGATGATGATATAAAAAATGGTGAATAATATATGATTTTTATAAAAAGAGAACTTAGATTAGTTTAGTCGCTCAAAAGTCCTATGTAAATGGTTTTAACAATGACAAACTCCATGCTAATTTAAAGCAAATTTAATCTTGTTTGTCCCGTAAGTAGAAGGAAATATTTAAAAGGCTGATAGACATCAATATCTACAAAAAAGTTAATATAAACAGTGACCCAATTCCCAGCAAAAAAGTAGGAAATTAGAGATTTGTGAATTTTTAAGTGAGTAACTATTTTTGTTGAATAGAAAGTGATAACTACAAAAATATTTAATTTAAGTAATTAAAAATTGCTTTACAGTAAATTAGATAAAATTTACTTTAAATAAATGTAGAGTTTGTCTTTGTCAAGGCCATTTAAAGAGGACTTTTGAGCGGCTGAATTCAACTAAGTTTCGTTTAAACAAAATCATAAATTATTTGCAATTTTTTTTATCACCCTCAAACCATGCTACAGATCTCAAATCACACTTTTAAAAAAACTCGCTCGTTTAATTAGCTGTAAGTTCATATTAATTAATTAGAAATTTATTCGGGAAAATTTTGAGATTCACTTCATGTTTTGTAAAAAAATTATGTGATTTTATATTCTGTCCCCGAAAAATAACCATGTCTGCAGCAAAAATTACTACAGTAATTAATGAAAAGCATTAATTTCTTTTTTTCCTATGACCTGGGATGGTAATATCACGAACAGATGAGCGAACCTTATTGGCTTTTGAGAGAAGAATTCTGCGGCGCATTTATGGACCTAGGAGAATCGGTAAAATTTAACTCAGGAGGGACAACCAAGAAACACAAAACCTCCTTGGTGAACCAGACATCATCAAGCATATAAGGCTGGGAAGATAAAGGTGGCTGGCCACGTAGCTCGAATGTCAGTGGATGAGAGCTAAAAAAAAAAAAAAATTCAGAGAGGACATTTACAGTACCAGGCGTAGAGGAGTACTGCGTCTTAGATGGATGGTACAGCGGAGGATGTCCGGACGATCTTGGTGGTCAGCGACTGGAGAACTGCTGCCCAATTTCCAGTCTGCTGGAAATTATTAAACGTCAGCGACCAGTAATGGTCTGTCGAGCCAATGGAAGAAGGTCTATTCGTTCTTCTTTGCATTTTTCTCCATTTTGTGAACAAAATCATGATTTTTGTTTGGCTTGAAGGATATGCTTTAGATGTTTTCTGGCTATGGAAGTCCCTCTCTGCTTTCTACTTTTCCTGAATCTTCATCTTCACATCATCAGTCCACCATGGACTTCTTTTGAACCCAAATCTTGCCCTATACTCTCCACATATCAGTCTAGTGGCATCAAGGATGATTTTCTTGAATAATGATCAGGTCTTCTCTATATCTAATAAAGCAATCATTCAATATAAATTGAAAAATACCTCTGTCCTGGAACCCCACTTACCAATATTAAAATATGAAGTTCAAAAAAAGACAATTTTTAAATAAAACAATATCGTCATCTGATTAAAATAAAGTTATCATTAAAAAAAAATATATATCCTCATATCGTAAGGTTCTCCAGCTACGCCACTGTACCTGTTTAAAGAGTTTCAAAATGTTGAGGTATAAGAAATAAACTATAACAATTAAAATACACCTATGCATTATTATAGAAAAGGGGGTCTACATTTCGGGTCTACATTCTTTGTTTTTTATCATAAAATTTTAACAACTATAAAAGATATAAAATTTAATAAATCACTTAAACACGAGGCTACTGCAACATTTATATTATTATTAACAGTTGTTTCCCTTAGAAAGCTGAAGTTTCATTTTTGGAAAACAAAATTTTTTCATCATAAGCCAAGGCCAGCGGCACTTAGTTGCGGTCTCAATTCGGCCTGCGGGCCAAGATATTTAGATATCCCTGTTATAGATAATTATATATTTTTCCTCCTTTCTTACAATTGTTATTATCTTTTCCTCATTAAAATGTCTTACTTGTACGAATTAACCTGAAAAACACACCTAATTTCATTATATATTTTGAAATTATCTTTACCAAAGATAATTTACAAATGGGATCTGTATGAAAAAAAGAAGTGAATGTTGTAATAATGTGTATTGAATTATAGATGATAACAAAGTTGATATTTTTCGTTTTCCAGGTGGAAGCATTGTCCCAGAGAAGTGTGACCCTTATTTTTCCCCTAACAACCCTAAAAATGTTTCTGCACACATCGGTAAATCGGCTTATCTCAAGTGCATTGTTCACAACGTTGGGAATTTGTCGGTGAGTTTTTAAATTTTAACAATTTATTTTTCAATACTCTCATTGAGATATTTCATATGTGCACAGAATTAAATAGATTTCCAGCAACAAGAATTATTTATGACTAACGGAGTCACATTCCTCTCCTGGAATAGGAGAGGAAACATATATCTATGTTTTTGAAACATTCATGTTTTAATAAATGCTAACAATCAAGTATCAATAATATCGATATATGACTTTCAATAATTTAAGCATCGAAATAATTTTAGATTTCTACTGCCATACAGTTGGACCGAAATAGCATTTTTGCATAAAAAATTCATATCACTACGGATCCTCATAAGCAATTTCTCATTCAGAAGTAGCGCATTTATCAACTTAACACGGTGAAGAATCCTACTAATATTTACTATCATAACCATTAAATATAATGATAGACTTTACAAAGGTGGAGTTTTTATTGTAACTCAAGTTAATCCGAAACATTGTATATTTATAAACTTGGAATTCTGCAATTTCTAGAGTTGGATCTGCAAAAATAAAGGAATGGAAAAAAAAAATCAAGCTGAAAGTCACTGTATTTGGAAATATAAAAATAACCAATTGTTCCATAACAACTACCCCCTCCCCCTCTATACAACGCTGTACTTTTATTTTGCAGTGACAATAAGCAATTAATATTTTTCTGATATTATTAATATTAAAAATTTAGCTTGGAGCTTTTCCCTACCTACGTCCACTTGCACGTTGACATGCATTGAGAAAGGAAATAAACATATTTTGATAAACTCTAAAATTTGTCTCATAGCGAATTGTTTGAGCTAATAAGAGAGGTAAAAACGAACTGAAAAAAAAATGAATTGTAAATTATCATTCATACCTTTGTTCATTTGGAAAATTACAAAAAACGTTTATTTCTAAAACAATTTAAGAAACTATAAAAGACTTTCTCATAAAGATTTTTTTTATTTGTTTCCCTCTATTGAACTTTATTATATAAGAAAAAAGTGATATATTTATTTATTCATTTCAAAAGGGATCGAATTAATCAAATTAATTTTTCACATTTCCGATTTTTCTGACGTTTTTTGTTTTTTGAATACAGGTTTCCTGGGTGCGGCACAGAGACATTCACATCCTCACAGTTGGTGCGTACACCTACACCTCAGACCAGAGGTTCATCTCCCTTCACGAAAAGGACAGCACGGAATGGACCCTTCAGATTAAATGGGTCCAAAAAAGGGATGCTGGTATCTACGAATGCCAGGTCAGCACAATACCAGTCAAGAGCTTATTCGTGCAACTCTACGTAGTTGGTACGTTTAGTGATCGAAAATACTTTAGCACTACTTCCGTATGTAAAATTTTATATTTATATAGACCACAGTATTGAGTTCATTAGTTAAAAATATATCCAAATACTCAATTTCTCAACTCCATCATTTATTTCTCTTGATTTTTATTTGTAACGACGCTTTCATTTACTTCTCTCCATTTATACACTCTAGCTTCTTCGCTTACAAATTTTATTTGAAATTTTTATTTTATTTCTTAATGATATTTACAACTATATTAAATAAATACATTTAGTAAATTTGGACAAATGGATATAATGAAGTGAAAACACTTGTTGAGAAATTGCCCAATGGTAGCACTCTAATAATATGTTTAGATTAGGAGATCACGTGGCCATCTTCTTTTCAGACGCCTCGGAGGGTTATCAGGAATTTAAGAGGAAGCAAGGTTAGAAACGAGAGGGTTGGGATGATTCTGTAGTTTATTATGGAAGGATAGGTATTGGGCCAGATCTGAAACAAAAGAAACATTTAGGTCATTATGGATGTTTTTATTTGTAACAAAGTAGGGAGCATTTAGGATTTTACGAAGGATTTTGGATTGTAAGGATTGGATACGAGAGGAATTCGATGGTTTAGTGGAGTCCCATAGCTCAACTCCGTAAGTCCAGATATGCCTTATTATAGTCATTTATATGAGTCATTTGTAATTAATTGGAAGTTTTGAGCCTTTTTCTAGTAAGTGCTGAAGTAATCGGTAACGTCAAGCGGTTTCTTGTCGTTTCAATCTGGTATGAGGAATACAAATTAGACGTTTGTCCAGGTGGAGTCCTAGGTTTCGAAAATTAAAAATATAAATTGTGCCTTGTGTAATGTCTCTCCGGCTACAGCTGAACTAGTCTTCATGAGTAAATCAACTTTAACTGTTGTGTGTAGGTTGCTATGGTGCATGGTATACACGATGCCCATGCTAGATTAATAATTTGCATCTTTTCTATTTTTCCCTTTCTCTCATTCAGGTATTCTTATCCGAATCCAAACATATTTATCTGTAAACATATCAAGCAATAAAAAGTGTACCGAATATCACTACAAACAGGTGTTACAAATTTCGAATTGTTGTGTGAAAATCTACCGATTTTTGCTTACATAGTTTTGTTTAAACTTTTTTTAGATTTTATTCTTTCAATAAATGCTAGTGTCATTCGTGTTTAATAACTGTTTGCCACCCTCTCCTTCTTCATAGCAAGATCAGCCCAAAAAAACAAATGCGAATCTTCCATCGTCTGAAACAGTGCTGAAAGTCTTCTTCTGTCAGCGGCTTCAGCGCTAGTGCCACTTTCTCTTTCAGTAAGAATGTGAATGTAATAATGTTGATTAATAATTTGACCCTCAGGAACTCAGGGAACGTCCTAAATTTCACGATTTCGAAAAAATAAAACAATCATAATTGCTTTTTATTTCGATTTGCTCATTCAAGTTTTTTGGTTGGTCTCTCGGTGAAGTTGGGCTCTTCTGGTGTATGGATTAGAGCTTCGTTTCAGCATCATTAAAAACCACCGTCAATCTGAACTTAAAGGAATGCGATTAGAGGCCGTTGAAGCTGTGAATGAAATAAGAATAAACTGTTGTAGAGGACCAGCCTCGTTATTTGATGGCCACACCCCTGTAGCATTTGGTGTAAAATATTTGACATTCATCATGTTAATTATGTATTTATATACTTGACATATTTCGTTTAAATTAGTTATTTTATGTATACATATTAAGATGTTGCCATACCCTAAAGCTTAAAGTAGGAGTTAAATTGACCTAATTAACTGGAGTTAAATTAGGAAAAAATACAATATTTCTATCTTATAAATTTCCTAAAAATACTGCAAAGTGGTCAAAGTAATTAACCTAAATTATATAATACTTTTTTAAAATTATTATTCCTTATATAAATTGTTTGCTGTAAAAAAATAACTAACATGGATGCCCTTTTCAGTTCCCTCAGCTGTAATCCATGGCAGGTCAGAAGTTCACGTCGAACATGGAAGCACCATTAATCTTACCTGTTCTATAAAGTACGGCACCGAACCTCCGGCTTACATATTTTGGTATCATCATGATATGGTATGTTTCACTAAAATAAAATAATTTAATTATAAACTTTATTGCAATTTTATGTGTTTTAAATAGGAAATGAAGATAACATCCATTCTTCATTATTGCACGCCGATCTATGTAGCCGTTATAAAGTTCATAGTCCGAGAGCCAGTGGCAAAAAAGGTGTATTATTTCATACTAAGGTTTGACCATATAAATGGACCATATCCAAAGGTCTGACAATAAAAATGCACTTCTGCCATCTCATAGCCACTGGAATGAAAAATGGAGGTCAAGTGAAGACAATAGTATTCCCGAAAAAAATGGCATATTTCATACTAAAACATAAAAGTCATAATAGATACTATGCCCCATCCATATAAAAATTAATCGTCTACTAACAAGTACCTGCTGGATACGCGCGGCAGACGCAACTCAAAATCTTACCTTATTGACCATCAAAATAGCGTTATTTAAAACTGCATGAAACTTATTTTATGTAAATAAAGACTCCAAAAAAGGACCAAAAACACACGTCTACCGACTAATACCCGCCGCGGCAGACGCGACTAAAAATAACACTTTATTACCAACAAAATGTCATATCATAGTGCATAATTATTTTTTTAATTTAAATGAAGAGCAAGGGGGAACAAAAGGTCTGTAATTCTCGAAGATTAAAGAAGGCTTTCAGGGAGGAGAGGCGAGAGCAGTACCAGTACCACCTGGCCGAGTACAAATACTACAATTATAGAAAGAAAGTGGTCCAGAATATAATGAACGAGGGAAGCCCAAAGCAGTGCCCTAGCAAAATGGAGAGAATAGAGGCTCATTTTAAATCACTTTATGAAAGCAAAAACGAAAATTTAAAGGAGAGTTATACACCCTCTTCCTACATTCCGAATTTGGGACGTGCATATTTATTTATAAATGTATTCCGAATAAAGGGTGTGCACAAAGCAATAATGAATATATACCTAGACACTTCACCAGGTCCTGACGGAGTTCTGATAAGTACAATAAAATAGCTGGGCCTTTCCCACATTATTAAAACTATTATGGACATATTTTTTAAATTTTGTTATGTCCCAGAGATTCTTGCACTTGCGGTACTTGCGGATGCACTATTGTGATTTATAAACAAAAGGGTTCCAATGACGAGATTTCAAAACCAGAGAGGTTTTGTGATTGAACCACCGGGATGCCACGCAAGAATCATTGAAGCAATTCTCAAAGATGCTTCGAGTAAACAACACGATGGAGATGTCGCGTTCTTGGACGTGACGGGAGCGTTCGACAACATTGGCCATGACCATGTATTGGAGTTTTTGGAAGCCAAAGGTGTTTCATCCGACCTAAGAAGGGCAATAGAGGGCTTGCCGTGCACTAACATCGTTAGGGTAAACATTTATTGAGACGTGTACCGCAGGGTGGACCACTCTAGCCCGCATTATTCAATGTGAGTATTGACTCACTGTACACAGAACTTTGCGATCCGTAAGTTGCCATGAAATACGGTTATAAGATGGATCATGGCCTCAATCCTGTTCTGCTTACAAGTTTCGCAGATGACCAAGCTTTGGCCGTTCACAATGTTAAATCTACAGAGACAACAATTAACCGCATTTGTAAAAGGAACTGCAAGCTGGGATTAACCGTTAATCCTCAAAAAAGTTCTGGCATTATATCCAAGAAGGGAAGATTGATAAGGTCAAAGTTCTGCTTGGATACCGGGGAGGAAGTAGGGTCAATCGAAGAAGGTGACACCATTAAATACCTTGGATCCGGTGAACTGGAATTTGACGATAGTTCTGCTAGTAGGCTGAGTCGAATCTCCTTAAGCCGGATCAGGAACTCAACATAGCAAACGGCTACGTATTTCCTTCTTTGAGTCTTGTCTGCCGATCTTACTCGGCGGATATTCGTTGGCAGACATATGTTTTAGCTCCCTTTTTAAAGTCTATAATTAACTAAAACAATTTTCATACAATATTAAGTGACAACATTTTAGCGGTCAATAAAGTGATATTTTGAGTCGCGTCCGCCACGCGTACCCACCGGGTATTTGTTGGCAGAGGTGTGTTTTTGATCCTTTTTAGAGTCTATATTTAATTAAAACAGGTTTCATGCAGTATGAAATGACATTTGTTTGGTAAAAAAGTGTTATTTTTAGTGGCTTCTGCCGCGCGTACCCAGCGGTTATTTGTTGTCAGATGTGTTTTTAGTCCTTTTTTAGAGGCTATATGTAAATAAAACAAGTTTCATGCGGTTGAAATGACACTATTTTGATAGTCAAAAAGGTAAGATTTTGAGTCGCGTCTGCCGCGTGTATTCAGTGGGCATTTGTTAGAATACGATTTATTTTAATATATGGATGGGACCTAGTATCAATTATTATAACTTTTATTTTTTAGTATGAAATATGACATTTTTTCGGAAATACTATAATCTTCACCTTAACGCCATTTTTCATTCCAGCGGCTACATGATGGCAGATGTGAATTTTTATTTTCAGGCCTTAAGACGTGGTAAATGTTTATTGAAACTTAACGTTAGTATGAAATAATGCACCTTTTTTGCCACGGGCTTCAGAACTATCAAGGCTTACTGTCAGTGAGTCCAGATGTTCAGCGATATGAAAGGATTCATGGAAACTGATCAATAAAGAAAGGATATCTGGTATTCTTAGAAACGTTTTCCGGTTTGAAGGATATATCGTCTTCTCTAATCTCTTAATCATTTATTACAAGAAATGAATACTGTAAAATCTGTAGCTATTTTATGTGGCCTAAATTCCACTTAAGGTGTCAATGAAACTATTTAAAATAATTGCTAACATTGGCTTCTAAATAAGCGTTCCCAGAGATGGGTTGGATTCTAATCATGACAATGGTTCAGCCCTAATTAAGTTGACAAATTTTACCGATCTCCAAATTGAAAACGTTCCATTTCCGAGAAATGTTTTTAGTAAAAGTGTGATAATAATTAAAAGTACATAAAAAGGTGTATGTACCGCGGACTATAACTAGTCCGACATTATGTAGTCCGGACATTCAACTACAGTAATCATAACATAAAAAAAAAATCTTATTTAATGTCTAGGAATAAAATTTTCTTCCTTTTACTTCAAAACATTTACATTTTACGTTTCGGTAAACTATTATTCTGAACCATAAGTGATGCTCAAAATCGGTCCCGGTCTTGCACTTTAAAGGACCAAGACTAAGACTGGTGAAAAAAACAAAATAACAATTTTAGTTACTAAATGTAAAGAATTGGAAGAACAAGAACAAGACTGTTAAAAAAAAAAAAAAAAAAAAATCGTTTTTGTGAATTTTTCGGGACTTTGATATTTTGATTCAGGGTACCCCAAAACGTGTATTTCCGTTAAAAACTCAGAATTAAAAATTTTTACGATTGCAATACTTATCCTTACTATATATTACATTTATACGTAAGTGAAAGTAAAATAGTTATAAAACTTATTAAAATAATTAACTTTAGAATAAACAATAAAGCAAGTGTATTAGAGAAATGTTTAATGCAATGAAATTCAAATATTACATATTATTAAACAGCTTAAGAAATAAATTTAATATTTTTAGAGGGAGGGGTGGTTATGCCTTTGCTTGGGGGCGCCGAATGTCTAAGGCCGCCACTGAGTCTACCTTCCCTTGGATAAGTGGATATCCCATCAACAATGCGTTAATATAACTTTTTTTTTTAAGCAGGGTTTGAAATCGATTATTATTTTTTTCACAAAATCATGTTGTTAACGTCACAGCGTTAATTTATTTTATTTTAATAATAATTTAATTAATTGTTTATATTCGATATAAACTGGTTCATAGTATGATTTACCACAATTTAATCATTATTATTTATGTAAAACCTTATCACTCAGTGGGTAATCAGTATTTTTAATCTAATCAATAAACATCAAAAATTAAATTTTTATTCATAATTCAAGCTTGATTTTTAAATTAAAAAAATAAATATAATAATTATTACATGTGGTAAGCTCCCTCTAGGTTTAAATTAAACATTGAATAAAGCTTAACGACCATTTGATTTAAACGCTTATAAAAAGTGAAGTTTAACCATATTTGGATTGACGCAGAAGGCGACGGTCGTAAAAGTGAACAAACCGCTAGTACTCCAATCCTTATTCAGCGATCAAACGTAGATTTTTCATGAGCCCTCATATAATCAAACTGCAAGTGGGTAGTGGCGAGCGCGAGGAGTGGAGAGAGAGTAGGTCTTTTCACCATAGGTCTGCAGTGGGAAGTATCGAGGTTGGCAGAACTGAGCTCAGCAACGGACGTAGTAAGACTGTGTATTGGCCTAGTCTACGGGCTTAGTGCTTGAATCTAGGACTTGTTTATAGCTAGGGGTACAATCCATAACAATATGCAGGGGGTTTCAGGGTCAATTGAAACACCCTGCATATTCATTTTTGCTGGACTCCTTGAAGAACCATGGCCTCTGCTAAAGTTTCATTCGACATGTCAGGAGCAAAGCGTCTCCACCGCTTTACAACAATCTCCTTCAGGATTTCTTCCACATTGTCCAACCCTCTGAGCCGAGGCTTTTCCCACTTTCTTACACACCCCGGTTTTCCATAGTTTTCTTGGTATTCTTGTAGGATCCATCTTCTCCACATGCCCCAACCACCACGGTCCATTGAGTTGGATGACTCTCACAATATCCTGTTCACCATATAACTACTTTAGTTCTAGGTTAGTGTGAGTGTGCTCTCTGAACACTATTATAAATGTCCTTGATGTGACAGAATGTAATATTTCTAAATAAATAAATAAGTTCTAGGTTAGACCAAATTCTCCATTGATCTTCCACATTGATTGGTCCATAAATGTTTCAGATTATTTTCCTTTACCATACGTGGAGCACCCTTTTGCTTTCTTTAGTCATGGACCATGTAATATTTCCGTATGTCGCCATAGACCTCATAATCGTCTTATATATTACAGTTTTTGCCTATCTGGACAGATCTTTGCTTGTGTTCAAACAATTTCTTCACACTGCACAGACATCGATTCTCTGCGGCTCTAAGGGCATTAAAATGCCTCTCTATTTGGTTCTTGCGAATGATCGTGCTACCTAGGTACTTATGCGTCACAGCTCTTGAATCTCCAATTCCATGTCCTCATTTTCTCTCTTGTCATGTGGTCTGTTATGGGCTGATTTTAAGAAATTATGAAAGTTATAAAATTTAATATCAACGATAGAACCAGGCATATCTATCCATATTTTCTTAATTTTTTTTAGTCAATCTGAAGGGATAGATGTTCATTATCACTTTATAAATTTTGATTTTAAAACAAGAAACAAAATATTGATTGTTCCTTTGTTTCCACGTATTATATTTCATTTCTAGTATTGTTGGAGGTGATAAGTGTTGAACAAATCAGTGAGTGAGACTATTTTGTTGAGAGGGGTAAGGTGGCTGTTGTCAACTACGACTCGGAGAGGGGAGGGATCAGCGTTATCACCGTCAAGGCAGAGACGAGCAGCAGCCATCTCCTCATCAGGAGGGCAGTGGAAGCAGACTCCGGAAGGTACTACTGCAGCCCTTCCAACGCAGACGTCGCCTACGTCCAAGTACACGTACATTCCAGTGAGTATCTTATCTCCTATCCTATGGGTTTGTATATTGGTTGGTCCGGAAAATAATTAACCCTCAATTTAACTAACTATTTACGTTTGAGGGATTATTCTTTTGGATGGGTGTCAACTATTAATAATCTTTTTCCAAACAGAAATGTTTTTTTTTATCTTCTGTAGAATTTTACTAGTTGGAAATAATTCAGTCTTAATCTGAGATGTCAAAGTGTAATTTTCGCATAATTTCATTACACGAGTTTAAAGTCTGTCGGGTCCAGGGGTGCCCATCTCTCCCAAGGTCGATGGCGCAAGAATCTACCCCCACCCTTCTCCTCGATATTTAAGATATTTTATTGCTCAACTATCCTTAAAAACAGAGCAAGCTAAGGTATAATTAGCTATAAAAATCAGAGAGCATATACAATTACACTTGCTGCGATCTGTTCCATGTTTTCCCCTTGTTCCTTAGTATGAAAATCCATAACCCCATCGAAATTTGCCTCTCCCCCCCTAAAAAATTCAAAAGTTTAGGGGGTTAGTTTTGTAATAGCTTTAATAACAACTCTTAAATATTTATATATTCCTTATAACAAAAAAAAGTTCATTAATATTTATCAATTAAAAAAATAGTAACTCTTTATGAGACAGTGTTTATCCACTACTAGGACTTTTTTTTCATCATTAATAAATTTTTTTTTTTTTTTTTTACTGTGAATAGAACCGTCAGATGAACATCAAAATACTTTGTAATTTCCATTTCTCCTTGCTGATTTCTCTTTTTTAAGTCCTCATTTGCCCCGGCTAACACGATATTATGCACAATCGTATTCCTTGCGAATTCGCCCCACAACCGAGATCTGCACTTAGCGTTACTATCATGCTTACCGGGTAACTAAACTGCAACTGAAAACTGCAGTTAAAAATAGAAATCACCAAGGAAGATTTAATTCACTAAATAATTTGAAGAAGAGCTTCTAGATGTTTCTCTTACCTCAAGAAAAAGTCTTAGTGGAGGGTAAACACTGAACTCTATTGGCTGGTGTATATTTCTGGGAACTTTCGTAGCAACATGTCATTGTCAACGAGAATTAAAGATTGTTGCGGTAGACATTTGAATAAAACATTTGACATACCATGTAAACAAGGTTATCAATTGTAAAAAAAACGAAGAGCCAAACAAAAGCTTGTATATTATATTTATTACAACTTCTGACAAATCTATTTTTTTTTAAATTAAATTTAGTTTATTTGAGTATTCTCTTTACACTTTTTTATTTTTGTTGAATTTTATTTTTTATACTTCTTTTTTATTCAATGCAGACTGTTTTGAGATATGGTGAAGTAATAATATTTCGTTCTGTAGATTTATAATATTCCACCAAAAACATTTTAATGCAAGTTCCGATCCTTCTAAATCCAAATTAGAAGTCGTCTTCTTTATAACATTTTAATGGAATTTAGAAAGTATGAAGTTGAGGATGTAATATATATATCAGGTTATTATGTAAGGAAATTATGAGTAACATTCTATAAATATATGTTTATAATTTAATGAAACAAAAATAGTGTTATTGTGGCTGATTGAGAAACAGTTGATGAAAGGAATTAATTTTTAGTTTGAAAGTATGTATGTTTTTAAGTGTGTTTTAAAAAGCTTAAATCTATTAAAGTTTCGTACTTTTATTCATTTGTTTACGTTTATGAAAAATTATTAAATCTTACTTGAAACTGTTGGTAAATTTTAGTATATATAAATAAAATAATGATTTTATTTGATATCTAATATCTTTGAAATATTTTTTATTTATTTATTTATTTAGACATATAATATTCTGTCACGTTGACAATAATTATATTGATAAATGAACACATTCACACCGTATACACAAAAAAAAAATTAACAAAAGTAAAATAATGGTTTATTGTTAATAATTTCAGGTAAGAGTCCATCGGCGATTCAGACTAGTAGGGGCGTCGTCGGAAACTGCCGCGGTCTTACCATTCTACTCACCATAAACCTCACTTATGCCCTTTGCTTCGTTGGACACACCATCTCTTCTTCAATCATGATTACCTCTTTATTAATTAATTGTATTATATACTTCATATAATAATGATAATAATAATATAGGTCTATATAAAATGTTTCGAATGTACTGTTTGTAAATCATAAACTGTTGGTTTTATATTTTATGGAATTATTGTTTTATATTGCTCAACCTTTTTTATATTCAATATAGTCCATTTAGTAGAGAAAAAAAAACACCTTGTACCATTTCAACCCATTAAGGCTCTTGGGTTCGGCAAAGGGTATTTGTACTGTTTCCTGGCAAAGGATGTGCAAGGAGGTGATTGGGCGAGTAGCACACTATCCACATATCAACTATGGAAGAATTTGATAATTAACTAAACGAGAAAATGTCCGGAAACAAGAGCAGTAGAAAGCTAAAGATTTCAGAAAAAATAATATCTAACAGATATTAGTTAAGTGGTAGATGGTAATAGAGTGACGAAAAACTAATGGTTTTAAATGGTTGTAGTTCGTAATGTCTACTTTTATTATTATGATTTATTATTGAATGAAAAATAAATGTTTCAATAGAAACTAAATGAAATTTAATCGGAATAACTTTTTAGTTTATTTCAAGCTTGAGAAACCAAAAGTTTATATTACACATAATTTTCATACACCGTTTTAACTGTCTTAATAATTAATATTAAAAATTAAAGTACAGTAATCTTCTTAAGGTTTGTTGACTTTTACAAAAATGCATTTCTACCAAAAAAAGGATGGTAAGTGAAAGTTATATGAGGAACGGTATCAGATTTTTTAAAACTATCATTCACGACTAATAATGTGTTCATTCAGTATTTTGAGAGAATTTATAGAAGGAAAATCTGCCATATCCAACACCTCATATTCACATTAGGTTTGGAATACTGACATTGAGCTTAAGAATAGGGCAGACAAATGTAACTCATTCGCATCTCATTATTAAAGAGCCACCACAAAAATGTGAACACTGGAATAGCCACCTCACCATCAGTCATATTTTTCAGGAATGCCCTTATTATACCACTAGCTTAAACAGATTATCTCTAAGACTGGATATATCACTAGTATGAAAAAATGAGGAGTCAAACATTAAAACAGTTACATAATTTCTTAAAATCCATTGACCGTTAAATAAAATATAGAAATAAATATAATTTTTATTTATTTCATTTTTCATATGTTCTTAAATATTTTTCATATATTATTCTATTTATTTAGTATTAGTATTTGATTATTGATTATCTTTTTCTCTCTTCTAAGATGTTTCTGAACTCAACATACAACCAAAATAACTGACCCACAGGCGTTGATGAGCCCAGGGTTTTACGCCTTAGAGCCCAAACCATCAACAACAACTGACATTGAGGCAAGGTACGGAAAATGATGAGACATTATGACTGACATTATGTTTACCATAAAACAAATCAACTTTGCTATCATAAATCATAACCCAATATTTATTATTGCTTCGTAGCTGGAATTGAAAATAATATTTCTCGAGTAACAGCTTGACTAGTCTATGGTTGTATACAGATGTGGGCAAAAATATATTTATTACTTATTAAATTAAAAAATTAAATGAAGTGATTTAAAATTAAGTAGTAATTGAAATAGTAGGTGATTAAAATTGTCTTTTATAAAAACAAAATACTTGTATTTTAAATAATGTATACTTAGCGCCCAGGTGAGGCTGTATATAATTTGATAGCTTGCTGCGCGGCGTGGTATTCTTGAAGCCCCCTGCAAGATCCAATTTTCATGTTTTATTTATTCTTGATCTTGTTTATTTTACATTTTATTTTCTTGTTTGATTTTCTCCCTTTTTCTATTCTTTCTTTTTTTTCCTTACCGTTTCATTTTTGCTTTTATATTCTCTCCTTTTATTTTTATACTACATTACTTTATTTTTTCTTGTTTTCGCTTTCATTTCTGTTTTTATCTTTTCCCCTTATTTAATATATTCTTTTTTCTATTTTTTTGAGAGAAAAAAATGTTTAGAAATAATATATTCTGACACACTTTATGCAATAGGTATTTGAACTATATATAATATACCATCTATACGAGAATTATTTTTTTTTAAAATTAATAGTGAAGAAAATGAATGGTATCTTAAGAAATAAATATAAAGAATTGTAAATCATTGATAAATTAAAATTAAGGTAAAAAATAAATAACAGTATAATGAAACATAAAAAGACATCCATATTTAAGCTGCTAAGAATTGAATTAATTTTATTACGGTCGCTAATAGGAATTTCGAATTAATATTTAAAGCGACGGGAGGAAATCTCTGTTTTCCACTTTCTCTTCCATTAAAGATTAATGTCTAAGAAATAGTTAAATGGATTAAAGTATTACTTACCTTTAGTTTAATAATTTTTGACAAACTGCTATCTACTCGCAATTGTTGACTATTTTATAAAATAAAGGAATGGAATATTTTCTTATTAAAATAAATAAAATATGAGCACTTTTTAACTTTTGTATTTTACAATAAGTATACAACACACATACATACCTTATTAAATAACAGTCACATACTTGTGCAATAATTTATTTATATATTACCTAATTTAATATTTGAAATTAAGAATGCTTAATTATACAAAATAAATGTCTTTATTGATAAAGGTAATTATTTCTATCTAACGATTCCATGAAATTGACGCCATGATACTAACACAATAGACTACGGAAACAGATAGAATCTTTATTTTATTATAAATAATATTCAATTATAAGATTTAAGTTTACAGAATCGCTGAATTCTAAAGGAATGCGTGTATGACAAAGATTCTTTTGTTTATAATTTTTATAGTGTCTTATATCTAACGTATAGTTTGCCTCCCCATTATAAATAAATATTATTTAAAAATGGGGTTGTAGGAAACTCATAAAATATAAATACAACACTTATCACAGTTACAATTATCATTACAGTGAAATATGACACATTTTTGTAGTTTCTCCCAGAATATCGAATGGATTTAAAATAAAGATATATATATATATATATATATATATATATATCCCATTGTGGGTGACGAAGTTTACTTCCAACTTCTCACACCTGATGATAGTAGTGTTCCTTAATGCTGTCATGTTATTTCTAAAGGACACAAAGCTTAAGGGACGTGTCAATCAATAGGATGAACATTTTAAATAAATATCGTTACTATAATTAATCAAGGTTGCTTAATTCAACAGTAAAACTCACACCAATGTTCTTCCTAATCTTTCTATTTTATATCACAGCTGTTTGAATACGAAGTAATTTTGAGTATCGAAATTCGCTGTGAACAATTTCTTTAAGTGTTAGGTACCTATTTACAAACAAAATTAAATAAATAGAAAAAGTAGAAAAAGTACCCGTCAAATTCCTTGGGGTCTCCTAGGTGCAACTCACTTCACAGTTGGATTAAGCTAAGTAATATTGTTCAAAGTTCACTAAATAACATAAAATAAATAATCTAGCTATATATAAAGAAATGGCCGGATTTTCAGTCTGACTGTGGCTTCTCTTAAAACAAGTAGGAGGTAGATGCTTATAATCATAATTTACTAACTTGAAGATCCTTTTCCTTGTGCCAGTTTCCATTTAATTTATCTTGAATTTCTTGAAGAGTTTTTCCTTTCGTTTCAATAACATAAGTCAATGTAAATATTATAGCCAGCACACAACCAGTGGCATAGAGCCAATAATTAAGAAACATGCCAGCGTAATCGGCAAACATTTGGTAAGATTTATTAAGAAAAGTAGAAGCTATCGCTAACATAAGCGTAGTTAGAGCAGACGCAACACCTTTAATGTTCGCTGAAAAAACTTCTCCTTTGATTGTCGTCACAATAGCGTTCAGTCCTATTGAATAAGAGAAACCGTGAAGAATGAAGCACGCGAATGGACCCCAACTATATGCACTCACATCCATCTTGAGGTTATCATTCATCAAGAACCACAGACCTGCAAGAAAGGTCGATACACCGCAACCTATCGATGAAACTACTAATAATACTTTTCTTCCTATTTTGTCAACTATAAAAGAAGAAAGAATAGTGGAAAACACCCAAACTATTCCCAAAATAATCACACATTCATCACGTCCTATCGAACCTAGTGCATCTTTAGGCAATGTTATTGAAGTATACGCGATCATAGCTCCAATTCCAGACAACCTCTGTAGAATAGATAGAACTCCTACTATGAAAAAAGCTTTCCGGTTCCCTTTAGTAGCAAATAAATCTTTGATAGTTCCTTTATTGGTCATTTGTTGACGGACGGCATTTTGTATTCTTGTTAGTTCTTCATCGACTTTAGGGTCATCTCCTCGAAGCCAAAATAGAGAAGCTCTTGCTTTTTCAATCTTGCCAACTTTAATCAAGAAATAAGGAGATTCTGGCATGGGGAGGAAAAGAACAACGAAGAGGATACAAAACCCAGCGGATGCTGCAGCAAGAGCACTATAGGATACATAAGGTCCGACAATGTACTCGAACAAAACACCAACGTAAGTCATAATAGCGAAAAAAGTACTGAGCGATCCACGAATTCGAGGTTCGGCGATTTCACCTAAGTAAATAGGCACTACAGTGTAGACTATACCAAGCCACAAGCCAGATAGAAAGCGAGCCACAAATATCATGTAAGTTGTTCTAGTAAAGAGGATCAGGAGCCAGGAAGTCAACGGGAGAATGTTAAGGTAGAGCAGCGTAAACTTTCTTCCCCATTTGTCCATCATGTAGCCGCAGGGGATCGGGCTGAAAAGGTTCCCGAAGTACATGAGTGAGATCATCCATGAAGTGTCGTCTGTATTCATCGGCACTGGAGATCGGCTTGAAAGCAGCAATGGCAGCGTTGGTGAGGGCCAGCCCATGGCGTTACCGGTCATGATCACCGCGATCGTAGCTGAAAAGTAAAGATAAAAGCAGTTGATTAGAATTTACATTGAAATATTGTTTTATTTATATTTTATTTAGAAACCTGAAAATGGATGCAGATTAACTTATTATGACGAAACTGATCCCGGTGTTTTCTTTAGGTTTAATCGTTTAAAAAATCATTATTGTTTGATAAGCTTTATGGTTCGTTACAGAAAAAAATATTTTCTTCCAATTTTGTACCAATGCTAATTTAATATAATCAGTTTCTGATTATTACTCACCATTTTAACTGAAAAAATAAATTAACCTGCTCATTTCTTAAGTAATTTTCATGAAAACATAAATATATGCATTAGGATCTGTTTTTTTTTTTAAATTATTCATTTAATAATGTACTGGCTTCGGCGAAACGTAAACTAAAATTGGAACGATTTCTTTAACAATAATACATTCTTTCACACCAAAGGGCAATAAATATTAGTGTTAAAGGTATGTGGCCAAATTCTATTCATACAATATACCCATACAAGAAAAAAATATAAATAATTATGAGCAAATAAATAATATTAATAAGTAGCAATAAAGAAATTACAATGATAAAATTAAAATAATATATGAACTTCACAAATAAAAGGAATTATAAATTAAAATTAAAATAAATAAATCTAAAATTCAATTATTCCTATATAAAATATTTACATTTGCCCAAGGGACTTTGAGCCAGAATATTATGAAAGAAGACAAGCAAAGAGCAACAAATCTATATAAACATGAAGGTTAGGAAACTTCAGGATATTGTTACAGGAATGAAAGCCAAGAGGCAGTATATCCCCTGCTTGGTGACAGAAATATTTAAGGAGTCTTTTTTTACAAAACAATTGTTCGGTATCATCGGGCTTAAGTTATCAGAAGTAGTGAGTGGTTCCTATGGTAATCAAGATACTAGCTGATACAATAAGAACGGAATGGAAGGAGAAGAAGAAGACATGAGTTTCCTCAATCCTCAGGATAGTCAAAGAAATAATTGACAATTTAAAAATGAAGACTGAGGAAGATCAGATTCTTCATCATGTGTTGATTACTATGGAAGAGGAGAGGATAAAGAAAGTTCCCTTATCGTGAAAAACCACCAGACCCAGATAGGGAGACCCAACACCAACAAGTAACAGGGACTGCCACCTAACCCGATACCTCAAAGGTGGAGAGCACCGACTCCATTCTGTAAAAGTTGAAATCAGGAAGGAGAAGAGGAAGAGGTAGAAGAGAAACCCTCTTTTATGGTTATGAGAAGGAAGAAAAAGAGGAAGATTCCATCCAGAACTTGGAGGAGAAAGGCAAAGCCAACAAAGCTGAATCGTGTTCCAGTGACCTCCAGAAAACAGGAGGAAATTACGACATATTTAACGATCAGGGATCAGGACTCTGGAAGTGGAAGATGGTCTCCCTCCAAGATTATTGAACATCTCCTGCAGAAGAAGAACTAAAAGAGAATAGCGCAACGGTCAGAATGGTAAGAGTCATTCAGGACGGTGGGTTTTGGTAAGGACAGGGGGCAAAGACTCCTAAACAAAGCGTTTGCGGACATATCTTCAGAGGAATTTTTTTTCTTCTTTTAAGGTCCTTAGTTCATTTTTGCAGTTTGGCCACTTGGCCCTGAAACACTCTGTATATGGAAAACTATCCATCGCATCGATAGAGTTGAAGCTGATAAAATTTGCAATATGATTGTAGGGACTTTTTTTCACTACCTTGCTTAGTTTCCTAAATGTTCGTCCTTAACTATGGCTAATTTTAAATTATTTTTATTGAGAAATAATACATTTTGCCACATTTAAGGGCACTGAGTACTAAAGCTGAGTGAGGCCCATTCATACTATATATACAATGCAATAAAAAAATAAATAAATAAATAAAAATATATATCTATATAACAAAGGTAAAAACTATAAAACTAAAGAAATGTAACTTGAATTCAAATTAAAAAATAATAATAAAAATAAATAAATAAAAAAATTACAGAAATTGGTAGCAAATTAAATAAGTCATAAGTAAAACAAATAGATATATAAAAAAGAAAAACATTCGTACTTAATATATAAAAAAGAAAAACATTCATACTTAATATATAAAAAAGAAAAACATTCATACTTAATATATAAAAAAGAAAAACATTCATACTTAATATATAAAAAAGAAAAACATTCATACTTAATATATAAAAAAGAAAAACATTCATAATTTATTTACAATCAGCCAAGGGAGCTCCGAGTCCAGCCCTTTCCTTCACGTGTGAAGGACAAAGCGAGACTCTAAGAGATCCCAGCGCTTCTCTCTCAGCTGCGTCACCGGCAGGAGTCCAGTGGAAACTGAGAGAGGGCACTAAAGCAACAGACGCTCATGACGTGAGTGGAGAGGCTTGCCATTGTCAGAACTCCAGTGACAGTCTTTATAAAAGGTCTCGAGGCCACTGCCGTTACAACCTTCGATGAGGTTTGTAGGGATGACTGGAGCTGGATAAGGATTGTGCTAAGGAGTTAGGATGGTGGATTAGGTTCAGATGAAAATTTGAGAATCGAGATGGAATAACGTCAAGGACATAAGGGATGTAAAGGTCATGATGTAGGGTTTTGTTTGTAACATAATAAGGAGCATTGACTATTATACGGAGGACTTTAGACTGAAAGGATTGGATGCGTTTGATGTTCGAAAATTTAGTTGTCCCCCACAGTTCAAGTCCGTAGGTCCAGATGGGTTTGAGTATGGTTTTGTATATTAATAGTTTGTTTTCTGTTGAGAGATTGGATTTTCTGTTAAGTAGTCTGTATAGCTGGCCAAATCGTCGGTTAAGTTCTTGTCTTTTAAGTCTGGTATGTGGGTTCCAAGTTAGTCTTTTGTCTAAAAGGAATCCAAGATACCGAACTGTGTCTGAGACGGGGGGAGGTACAGAGTTGAAAAGGATATGTGGACAGGATCTGCGTCGGAGGGTAAAGGTGACCTGCTTGCGTTTGGATTCATTGATCTTGATGCGCCAATTGTTGCACCATTGCTCAATCAGGGAGATGTGTCTTTGTAGGTTTAAGGATGCTGTTTCAGGATCTGAGTGGTTTGATAGGATGGCGGTATCGTCAGCGAAGGTTGCTAGAAGGGTATCAGGGTTGGTTGGAATGTCAGCGGTGAAGAGGATGAAGAGAACTGCGCCCAAGACACTGCCTTGTGGAACACCAGCTTCAATTGGATAATAGTTGGAGAATGCCGCAGCGAACTTGAAAGGAACGATTTGAGAGGTAGGATTTGAGGACTAGGTACAAGGATTGGGGTAAGTGAGTTTTGAGCTTGAAAAGCAAACCATCATGCCACACCCGGTCGAAAGCTTGCGCTACGTCCAGAAAGGCACTGGTGCAATATTGCTTGTTTTCAAGCGCAGAGGATATATGATCAACAACGCGAAGGCCTTGTTGAACAGTGGAATGTCTTGAGCGGAATCCAAACTGATGGGATGGGATATTGTGGGTTTCGAGTATGGGCAGGATGCGTTTGAGAAGGATTTTTTCAAAGATTTTGGAGAGGATTGGGAGCAAGCTTATTGATATATAGGATGAGGTATTATTGACAGATTTACCTGGTTTTGGGAAGAGGATGATTATGGAGTGTTTCCATGTCAGAGGAAAGTGAGTTGTGCGGAGAATACAGTTGTATAGGTATGTGAGGAATATAATTGCTTTTTTGGGAAGTTGTCTAAGGATCTGGGAAGTAAGGAGATCGTGTCCAGGGGATTTTCGAGGTTTTAGGTTGCTTATAAGGAATTTGACCTTAGAGGGGTTGACAGCTATAGGAGGGAAGGAGAGGAGAGGAATTTTTTAACTTCAACAGTGAGGGTGGAATGGAGTTCGGGGTGGGGAGTAAATGTTTTGGATAGGTGTTTGGCAAATTCTTCAGCTCTAGTCTCATCTGACGAAGCCCAGGTTCCATCATCGCATCGGAGGGGATGGGAAAAAGAATGGTATTTTTCTGGTCAACTTCCAGAGGGAATTGTCATCGGTAGATAGGGAAGAGAGGTAGGAATTATATGATTGGGATCTAAAGGAAGCTAGTTCTTTTCTTACCTGTTTGGTATAACAATTGTACTGTTTCCGATCATCAGGATGCCTGGTTCTTTGCCAGATGGTCCTAGATTGGCGTTTGGATTTAATGAGGTCGGTAAGGATTTGAGGCAGAGGAATCTTTTTAAGGTATTTTTTGGAGGGGATTGGTGAGGATGCAGTCCAGACTGCTTGTTGGATCAAGGTGGTAAAGGAACTCACTGCATTATCTAGGTATTGAGGGGTTTTTAGGGATACTCTGAGGTCTATTGCATCTGTTATTGTTTGGCGGAAAAGGTTCCAGTTGACTGGGCCTCTGATGAATGAGGGAGGAGATAACCTGGGGATAGGAGATGCGAAAAGGGTTAGATTTAGCGGGCTGTGATCTGAGGAAAGGTCATCGAGCCGTAGAACTGAGTAATTTAGCGGCCCGAGACCTTTGTGAATGAAGAAGTCGAGGATATCAGGATTACGGTTAGGGTCGGTTGGCCAGTATGTAGGAGTATCAGGGGGAAGTATGTTGGAATTGTGGGAATTAAGTGCAGACAGCAACGATCGCCCGCGGGAATTCGTGGTTCTGGCTCCCCATTGCTGATGTTTGGCGTTAAGGTCTGCACCTATAAGGAAGTGGTGTCCTAGGGAATTAAGAAAGGAAATGAAGTTAGGTTCAGGTATTGCTATTTTAGGTGGAGAGTATGCTGCGACAACTGTAAGAGGAAAAAGTGAAGTTTGGATAGTTATTGCTGAGGTTTGTAGGAAATTGTGAACTGGTAAAGGATACAAGTGATGGGAGAGGGACTGATGGATAATGACAGCAGTGCCAGCATGTGCTGTTCCATCAGGTTGGTCAGTTCGATATATCTTGTAGCCAGGTATGTTGAACTATCTTTTGTTTGTTAGTCGGGTCTCAGTTATTAGGCCTATGTCTATGTTATTGTCCTGTAGA